GTAGAAGATCCCGCAGGGCCCTGATCTCTTCTGGGAGCTCGTTCCACCAGTATGGAGCTGCCACTGAGAAGGTCCTGTTTGTTGACATTATTCACCAACACTCAAGGTGGATCACACAGGATGTGTCAATGAAGTCTACAGGATGAGGCATCTGATGAGCCATGTAGAAAGCCTAGTAAATCTCTGAATCCCATTGCCAGGGGTCAACGCAGTGGAGGACCTTGGCCTGTTGTGTACGGTTGCCAGCTCCGGGCCGGGAAACACCTAGAGATTTTTGGGGGTCAGGTTTTTAATGGGGAGGGACCCCAGCGGGGTACAATGTGGAGTTCACCCTTCAGAGCAGCCATTTCCCCCCCCCCCCCCACGGGACTGATCTCTGTAGGCTGGAGATCAGTTGTAATACCAGGAGATCTCCAGTCCCCATCTGGAGGTTATAAAAGGACCCGGAACACAGCCAAATCAGTACAAGGGAGTATAAACGCTATGTAGCCCTAAGCGACTCTAAAATAGAGACTTTATTATACTAACAAATGTCTAAAGACTGAAGAAGAATGGTAACAACAATTCTTACAATCAATGTTACAACTATAGCAGTTACATTTGAATGATCACCTTTGTTAATATTATTCACCTGGAAGCCCGTCTCTGTGGATTGTCATACACCAGACCAACGTTCCCTCTAAGCTGTGGAGTCTTGTGAGCAAAAATTCTACTCTGTGAGCGACTGGCATTCAAGTTGTGAGCGAGCGATTTGGCTGCTGCAGAAATTAGTTTGCTCTGGAGCCGTCCTTCCTGAGCAAAGACAAAAATGTGTGAGCTGGAGGCTAAAAAACTGTGAGCTAGCTCACACTAACTCAGCTTAGAGGGAACACTGCACCAGACTGTGAACCCTTCCAGGGTCCCATGTTATCATGTGGGATTGTCCTTTTTGTGAAATGGTACATTGACTGATACAACAGACACGATTGATAAAGACCTCGAAACAAGGTCACATCCGGAATCCTTGTCTCATGATAAAAAAATTATTGATTCCACGGCCGCATACAGAGTCCGGAGCCGCGTTACTTGTGCAATGTTTACATCGCCCCTGCAACTGTTTACACTACATGGCTCCTTTTGTGGGCAGTTTAACGTTTTGAGCTGGATTCTTGTGCGGTGTTTACATCGCCCCTGCAACTGTTTACACTACATGGCTCCTTTTGTGGGCAGTTTAACGTTTTGAGCTGGATTTCATCTACGATTCTTCATTGGATGTTTATGTTGTAACATTGATCGTAAGATTTATTGTCACCATTCTTGTTGGGTCTTTAGACATTTGCTAGTATAATAAAGTTTCTATTTTAGAGCATCTTAGGGCTACACTCCCATCTGGAGGTTGGCAATCTTACCTCTGTGCCATGTAGTTCCCCCCCCCCCCAAGAAAACTGACTGGCCACTATTTGACACACGATGCTGGACTAGATGGACCACTGGTCTGATCCAGCAGGGCTCTTCTGATGTTCTTATGAAGGCCTCAGCCTCTATGCTCTGTTGTTGACTGTCCAGAGGAATTGGTTGGCCACTGCGTGAGACAGGATGCTGGACTAGATGGCCCACTGGTCTGATCCAGCAGATCCTGTCTGATGGACCGCTGGTATGATCTCTGTCTTATGTTCTTATGAAGGCCTTGGCCTCACTGCCCTGTTGTTGGCTGTCCAGAGGAATTGGTTGGCCTCTGTGTGAGACAGGATGCTGGACTAGAGGGACCCTCACTGGTCTGATCCAGCAGGGCTCTTCTGAGGTTCTGATCAGGGGAAGACCTCGGCCTCTCTGCTTTGTTATTGGCCCTCCAGAGGAGCTGGCTGGCTGCTGTGTGAGACACGATGCTGGACTAGATGGACCACTGGTCTGATCCAGCAAAGGCCTGCTCCAATGTTCTTCATTTCAGGAGGGGATCCATGTTGGTCTGCAGTAGATAAGCTAAATTTGAGTCCAGTAGCCCCTTAGAGACCAACAAGTTTTGGGGTGTAAGCTTTGGGGAGTCAAAGCTCCCTTCGTTAGAAGGTATCCAATGATGGGAGTTTTGACCCTCGAAAACTTTTTGCCCCCCAAATCTTGTTCTCTGGGGGGCTACTGGACTCGAATCTGGCTCTTATCACCTTATCTTCACAGCCGTGCTCCCTTTCTTAAAGCACCTTCCGTGTGGTGAAGGGATGTAACCCAGAGGAGCATATACATCCCTTCCCCCATCTTAAAGCCCAGGAAAAGCTGACTCCCTTAAGTCATGGCAGTGCCTGTGGCCTATAATTCTTGTTTCTGGAATCTTAACACAGCAGGGGTTCGTAGTGTGCTTACATTTTTGATGAAATATACAGGTTTGACCAGCAGGCAAGGCATTTCTTGCCAGTGGATGCAAATTGCGGGTATACGTGTACATTCCTGCAGTCTCACGCCTCTCCCAAGCAGTGTTCCCTCTAAGCTGAGTTAGTGTGAGCTAGCTCACAGTTTTTTAGCCTCCGGCTCACAGATTTTTGTCTTTGCTCAGGAAGGATGGCTCCAGAGCAAACTAATTGATGCAGCAGCCAAATCGCTCGCTCAACATTAATGCCAGTAGCTCACAAAGTAGAATTTTTGCTCACAGGGCTCCACAGCTTAGAGGGAGCATTGCTCCCAAGCAGGGCTCTTTTTGTAGAAAAAGCCCAGCAGGAACTCATTAGCATAATAGGCCACACCCAACAGCAGAAACTCAGCACATTAGGCCACACCCCTGACAGCACAGCTCATTAGCACATTAGGCCGCGCTCCTATGTTACCAGAAGTGTGATCATCCAGCCACACCCACCTTTTGCTTCTTATTCTTTTTACCTTGTTTGTTGTCAAAACCCAAGGCTCTTTTGGTAGCAGGAACTCCTTTGCATGTTAGGCCACACACCCCTAATGTAGCCAATCCTAATGAGTTTCTGCTGTTGGGTGTGGCCTATTATGCTAATGAGTTCCTGCTGGGTGTGGCCAACTCGGGAGCCAGCCGAAACTCCGTTCCTGTGTGTTCCTGCCCCAAAATAGCCCTTCTCGCAAGTATCAGCCAGATCCCAAGAGTGGCTTGCAGTGGAACAGTCTTGCATCGTATGCCTCAGAAGCGGCCTGGGGTTTCCTAGCCTTGGGACGGTGAATGGGTGGCTCAGTGACAGAGCATCTGCTTCGCACGCAGAAGGTTCCAGGTTCAGTTTTGTGGCATCTCCAGTGAAAAGGATCAGGTGGTAGGTGATGTCAAAGACCTCTGCCTGAGACCGTGGAAAGCCACTGCCAGCCTGTGTAGACAATACTGACTTTAATGGCTCAGTTGTCTGACTCAGTATAAGGTATCTCCATGTGAAGGGCCATGGCTCAGTGACAGAGCATCTGCTTGGCAGGCAGAAGGTCCCCGGTTCAATCTCCAGCATCTCTAGTTAAAAGAATTTGACAGAAGGTGGTGCGAAAGACCTCTGCTTGAGACCCTGGAAGAGCAGCTACCAGTCTGGGTAGTCAATACTGACCCTGATGGCCCAGTGGTCCGATTCAGCGTATGGCAGCTGTGTGTTCTCCCTGTATCCATTCGCGTCTCTGCCATGTGAAGGGAGGCTTTCATTCTGAGTAGCGCCAGGGCAATGCTTGAACTGGGGCAGTAACCCTTACCCATCAAAGGAAGATGAGTCAAAAAGTTGTTGGTTTTAATTTGCGGGGAGACGTTACGAGAGAGTTGGGGAGCAGCAGTCCGCCAAGATGATTCACTGACGCTTTCTCCGTATTTCCCCCCCACTTCCAGGTGAAATAACAAAGGGCCCAGGTAAGCCTCTTTATTTTGCCTTTTCGCTCTCCTTCTCTCCCATCCCCGTGAGCCAGGGAGTCCGTGCTTTGTCAGCGTTAAGATGAAAGGGTTTTTTTAAAGCCTCTTGGAAGATGTAGCTAAGACAGGTGAAGAGACCCAGAAATGACCGATGTTCTTCACAGCTTGGGGCAAGGAGATCAGAGGCGCAGGGAGGAGCTGGACCGTGCAGTTTCTCAGCAGGTGTTAAAAGTTCTTGCAAGGGAAACCTACTGACGTAGGTACTGAATCCACATCAGCAAATCAACACAAAGCCGCTTCGGTTTAGCTCAGAGTTTCCCAACCTGTGGGTCCCCGGAACCAAAAGCGGGTCGTAAATCCTCTGGAATTGGGTCGTGGGCCAGCCCTCCCTCATGGCCTCCCCTGCCCTTTCCGTTGCTCTCTTTTGTATTTTGGAAACCAAGATCCGTCCCTGGAAACAGTCTCTTCTATGTCATACATTAGTTGGTATTTTTTCTCCACTCTATGTATGTGATGACTGGGTCCGACGTGTCTTGATGGTTACTAGAGTGAGTTTCCTAGGGAGGATTAGAGGAAGCAATAAGTGGGGACCCGCGATACTCCCGGGGGGGGGGATATTCCCCGACGCACAGCTCCCAGCTGCTGGGCCCACCAAGCCTTCTCCCCCACCCCCCGTCAACAGCGGGGAGGCACAGCACATGTGTAGAGAATGCTCTTTTACTTTTGGGGGGATTTAAGTATCCCCGGTATAGTTTTTCTACATTTCAGATTTTCTTCATTTCAGACTTTTCTGCACACCCAAGGAGTGCCCCAAGTGTGCAGGGAAATCTCTTTGCCTCCCAGATGTGCAGATTTAGA